AGCTCGGAGTCACTGATCCGGGGATTTAATTCATCAAGAGGGTGCCCTTCCTCAAGGGTTTCTTCTATGTCGACGTCTTCCTTTTGTTCGAAGGTATGCCCTTATTCAGGGGCGTCGATCATTTCCACATCCAAATTAGGTTCGCTGGCAACTTCAGTTATGATCACATTAACAGTTCGTGGCTTCGATTTTCGCAAAGAGTTTAAGTAACATGCCCTGGAGCCCATCTAGTCGCCTCGTACCATGGCAATCCCATGTTCAGTCAAGAATTTCATACACAAGTAGTGAATGGAGGTGACAGCCCGTAGATCTTTCAAGGCGGGTCTTCCCAATACTCCATGGTAGGTCGATCTGTGATCGACCGCCAAGAATTCTATGAAGTGTTGGGTTACTAGAGAAGCTGAACCCATCTTGACGGGCAGAGTTATCCGCCCTTGTGGGATGATGATGTCCCTCGTAAATCCGAACAGTAGATCGGTTATGGGGATCAACCCATGTTCAATTTGCATTTTGTCAAAGGTGGAGCCGAATAGTATATTCACCGAACTACCACTGTCGATGAGCATGTGTTTGAGCCTGTTTCTTACCACTATAGCTCTCACAACCAGTGCGTCACAATGGGAGTGGTGAACTCCTTCTGCATTTTCCTGGGAGAAGGTGATTGGGGCCATCCTATTAGCCTCTTGGGACTCATTGACAATGCAGGTAAGCATTGGCGGGTCCTTTGCTTCCCTTGTGTAATTCTTTTTGGCGTTCCTGGTGTTGCCACCGATGTGAGGTCCCCTAATGATCGTGTCGATCTCCCTGATGACTTGGCTCCCAGAAAATGGGGTTTGATCTCTATGTCTGGACTGTCCTCGGTCCCTTGATTCTCTTCTCCGGGGTGACTGCTCTCTATGCCTTCTTTCTCCCTTGTTCGGGAAGGCGTATCTATGAGGATATTCGTTCCTCCTGGAGGGATGTGGGTTACTTCGATCCGGGCATCGATTAGCGTCTCTGCACTCGCTAGTGTCATGCCCATAGAGTTGGTGGAAAGTACAAAACCTTGCCCCTTCCAAGGGCCTGTTTGACCGCTTCTTCTTCTTTTTCTTACCACTATCAGTTCCTCCAGATGGCCCTGCTCTGCCAGGGAAATTCTCGTATGCCAACACCGGGACTGCATTTAGCGTGGCAGAAGCCAGTGCCTATCCGGAGGTGGGAGCTATTGTATGACCTGCTTGAGTCCATTGCTGAGTGACAAGGTGTGTTGCGGGTCCTCGACCTACCTGCCTCTGAGGCGGAGGGAGTCCCTACGCTGCACGGTTTCTGTGATCAATCATCTCTTCACTGACGATCTCAACTCTCATCATTTCTACCAGTTCGTCATAAGTGGTGAGATTTTTGCTGTGTACATCCCTCGAGAACAAAGTGTTCATGTTGAGGCCGCCTTTCAAGGCTGAAAGAGCTTCTCTGTCAGTGACCTGCTCGCAACACGTGATTTATTCTGTAAACCTGGCGAGATAGCTTTTCAGCGTCTTTCCAGGGGCTTGACTCATATCTTGCAGGCGTTGCACCAGGGCCTCTCCTTCTTTGCGTGAGAGGTACTAGTTCAAGAATGCATTCTTCAGATCCGACCAACTCTTAATGCTCAGGGGAAAGTCTGTTGTACCACACTTCAGCAGCTCCGCTTAAAGTTAAGTGGAAGGCTCTGCACTTCAAAGCAGGCAAGGTTCCCCTGAGGCTCATCTGCGTCATATACTTGGTCAAGTACTTCTCCGAATTTCCTTTTCCTTCATACTTGGGGATCTTAGGGGGCATGAAATTCGCAAGCATTGGGAAACTTCGGATTTCCCTTGAGAAAGGGAGGTTATCATCATCATAATCAATTTCATAGGATCGACAAGGCCCATTTGACCCTTCATCATCTTGAATGTTTTGGGGAGGTAGAGGTAATGATGACAATTTATCCCGCCCCGTCCCGAATGGGGCGAAAAAACCCGCCCCGTGGCGGGGCGAGGCGTAAATGGTCGCCCCGTCGCGAGGTGCGGGGCGAGGATGCCCTGTCCCGTGAAGAAAAAGTAAAAAAAATAATAATAATAATAATTTTATTTCTAAATAATTCTTCCGTTAAAAACTCATTTTAAATTTGTATTTTATTATCTAATAATAACATAATTCGAAATTTTCAAAATGTAAAAAATAAAAAAAATTAAACGGGGCAAAAAGTTGCCCCGCCCCGTCTAAGGCGGGGCGGGGCGGGGTTTTTGCCAAAAGGGGTGGGGCGGGGTGGGGATGCCCCACCTCGAACCCGCCCCGTTGCCATCACTAGGTGGAAGTGCTTCTCCTCGACTCCCCCAATCAATTAAGTCCCTTCTCTCCTTCCTATTTCTAGGATGAAGGGGTGCTTGTTCTTGTTTTTGCTCTTGTCGAACTGATCTTCGTACTGAGTGGATCCTATTACTAGGGTCCTGCCCTATTCGGTCGAAAATGCTGACTGACCTTTGTGCTTCATATTCTTGAGGAAAATTGTCTCCCAATTGTCGTTCTGCTGACTGGCTCCCTTGCACATAGGATGTGGCTTCAGCACCCACTTTTCTTTCGAGGGGGTGCTCTCTGTGCTGGCTCACACGGTCTCGGGAACGAGATGTTGGGGCTTCCTGAACTGGATATGATCCTTGGGGCATTTGAGAGCTCTGGTGACCTCGAGCTTGTATGAGAAGCTTATGCATCGCCATATTCCAGGCTGCGATGTCTCTCATGCTCGTAGTTATTTGAGTCATTCTTTCGATGAGCATTACTGTTCTTTCACCTCGGTGATGCCGGTGATGGGGTCTCTGGTGGGTGACATTGTTACGGAGCACCTCTTCTTCAGCGACCTCTCTTATAGGATTCTCGTCTTCATGGCTGTAACTCATCTTATGTCCTTTTTCAAATGTGATAAGAACTTGGATTATAACTCAACTTTGTTCTTTTTCAAGAACATACCCTTTACGGGATAAGTCACTAGTTTTCCGGTGGTTTCTCCGGTCGAGAATACAGAACTTTGAACGGGAAGTTTCTCATAGACGGCGTCAATCTATTGACCTCACAAATTAGACCCTCCACGTGGCCAACTGATAGCTACTCCACGTATTCCTTCCTGCACATAGTCAACGCACGGTCAGATGCACACGGCCAGAACCAATGGGGGTGGCGGCGGCCGCATAAATTCCGACAGTCAAGTTAGCCTCAGGTGGTCGAAACAATACCAAGATTGTGCTAAATAAAGGGGAGAAGAATATATATTTACTTGTTATGGAAAGATATGTTGTAAGAGTTTCATTACATTTGCCTCTTGTCAAACCTTGGGTATTTATAGGTGAGGAGAACCGTTGGATGTGGAACACGTGTATGTATCTGACGGTTTGAGGCGTCTGCTCATATGCGTCAATCAGCCGCGTCTATAGAGTGGGCGAATAATTACTTCTCCTGAGTTGAGTTGACATAAAGTTGATACGTCACATCAATTAGGCTCATGGAGACGTCAAATCAATTAAACCTTGGGGGCAGAAATGATCTTGACATAGTTTTCTTTCTGGAATTGGCGGCAGATCTTCTGACAGAAAACCTCGAAATGTACTGCGCCTCGGCTTTAGGGACGAGGGCATTTCGGTCGGTTCAGTAGATTGTCCGTGTCTCGTAATGCATTAGTGGATCGACAACATTGGAGGTGGCGTCACTTCATAACCGCTTCAGATGGGTGTTGAACGCCTCGTATGACGTTAAGGGAGACTTTTCGAAGTGGTTCAGATAGGGGCGTAACAAATAGTGTCCAAGATTTCCCAAGCTTGGCTCAATTTTCTTTCTGATCCAATTCCTGGCCTCCTTTGCAATCTTCACAGGATTTATGGCAAAACATGGCGCTTGAGAATTGCTTCTCAGCATCTTCCATGGCTTTTGAGAGTGCAACCTCTGGAAAATGAACAGATTAGCATCCCGGATTATAACCAGTAACGTGGAAGCTCGTACATGAAATTTCTGAACTGAAAATCCCATCTCCCACAACATCAAACATTTCCCTGAATTTTGGTCCCTTGGGGAAATTTTGAAAATTTGCACTCGTTATATTGTGTGCATTTTCATTAGCAACTGTGACAAGCATCTCCATTTTAGCAAACCAGGGGCCGTTGAGCTTGAAAGTCACTGGATTCTCCTTGAAATCTCTGTTGCAAAGTCGTGAATCCATCCCACATTGAACAGAAGCGTCGGCAGCATCTCAAATGATGGTCAGTTCCAGGAAAGTGCTAATTAATTCTGCCATGCCCAGAAAAAGAGAAGCCATAGGATTGCCAAGAGAGCTTCAATATTACCCTATTGTTGCCATTTGTTTTAGGAGGCAGTAATTGCTTTACGAAATTGAGCATGCACCATAGTTAGTTGTATTTGGAAGCCTATGTATTTACATCAGATAATTGCTAATCTCTCTTCAATTAATAGTGCATTGGCCTTGTGTCCCTTATGATTTTTGTAGCTTTTGAGAAAATTCGACTTGCATTGAAATGCTTTACTATGTCCATCACATTCCAATTATGTTGTAATAAGTACTAAGCTGAAGAAAGTGTCCCATGTGACAAAGATACAAGAAGATGAAATTGGCAAAGTTGAATGTAACAAAGGTTAAAAATATGTGGCGTCAAATTTGAATATATTACAACACATTTACATGCTCTTAGGGCCATTTGTCATGTCTTTTAAAAAGTTAGATGAAACTTCTGAGACCCAAAAAATGATTTGGAACCCGTCTGACTAATTTTATAAAGTGCTTTTGATAGTTAGAGAAGATTGGAATTTCCTCTAAAAGTATTTCCTATTTCGCACGTGCTTTAAAAAATTAATTTTCAAACAAAAATTATGATAACTTTATCCAAAATCTGTTCTACAATATACAAAAGAAAAAGTCATGTCAAACGGTTTTTCAAACAATTTTGAACCATCTCGGGAACACATCTAATAATTTAAATGTTGTCCTGAAAAACATAAAAGAGGGGAAAAATAATAATAATAATAATAATAACTGAAGTCCATACGCACTTCTACCCCTTGACAAAAAATAGTTCCTCACATGTTACAAGTTCAGGGGCGAGGGGAAGAACTGAAAACCAAATGAATAGAAAGAATCGACGTGTATCCCAAGTGATAAACAAGCAAATTCATTACATCATAACACACGGTGAACAAAATGCCTCTCCATGGGTCAAATAACGAATGGAACAATTCGTCTCTGAATAACTGCTATATCCACTAAGGAAAACATACTGCTCTTGGAGATGTTTCAGTCAATGGAATAGCAATTGAACTCTTCATACATTAATATCTGTACGCTTTGATCTCACAGTGGTGGTTTCCTGGTTGGCACTCGATGCAAATCTTGGGATGTTGTAATAGTCAGGTGTTGACATGGGCTGCTGTGGATAGAGCGTGGGTGGGGGGTTCAGGTTGCGTTGAGCTGGTAGCGGAGGAAGTGCATTATACTTGTACGGATCGCCTATCAAACTGTACCCAGCAGAAGGTGCAGTAAGGGTCCGGAATGCATGAGCTTTAGGGCATAAAACTAAGTGCTGATGATACAATTAATGAAAAAGAAACAAAGGTAACCGGAAAACATGATGCTCAAAATAGTATCTTTATAGATCCAAAAAAGGGTGGCACATGTCATGATTAACATACATAGCACACAACCTCCAAAAATAATTTACATAAACTTCATGGTTCTATTTCTTGAAGATCAAAACACAATTCGAGCACAAGAGAACTGCGTAATTTGAATTATTCTTCTGCTGCTTTCTTATTAAACACAGAAATAGAAGTAATCAAGCTATTCATTTTTTGTCATTTTGGAAGAAAGGTATAAGAAAATTGGCACTGCAAATTTTATTCACAAGAAAACCGCAGGTAAAATATATTTATGGTGAACAATCCAAATGTTTATCTTCTCCTTTTCTTCAGGTACTTTTTTTGTACATACATGCAGCAGATATAGACACACAAGTGCGATATTTGATATACACATACGTAGATGTGTATTTGAGATGAGAGGAAATTACAAAACGAACATAATTTATATCACACAGGTCCTAGATGCACGTGTTTTTGTGAACAGAAAGTTATAAATTCTGATATGGACGTCAACATGCACATGAGAAGTTCCTTTTTGCTAGTTGGGTTCTTTTTTTTTTTTTTCCTGGTCGGTCTCACCACATACATGGACTTTAATTCATAATTCTTTCTGATTATCTCTGGGGAATTTTACTTTCTTTTAAAAGTAGAATTCTTCCGCAAACTGCCACATGCAGCAAAAACCTTCTCCAGATGGAAATTGACATGCACCAAAAGGCAACTAGTGCATTTGTAGAAAGTGTTCATACATGACAAGCAAAATGATACCTAGTCTAACAATTCATATAGAAAAATAAAAGCAATCAAATAAGTAGAGATTATTTAGCAATTATAGAAGAAAAATAGAAGCAATTTGATCTTAAACCACATGCATTGCTAAACGTATGGCCATCATTTTTCTTTATACTGTGCGAGACTAATTCAAAAGGTTTCATGGAACACAGAAGAATCAATCATAAAAAAGATCTACAGGCAGGTTAAACATGTCATACTTTGAACTCTTATACATCTGGTCCTCGTCACTTGAAATTTCAGAAGATTGTGCCAATGGCCTATGGACCTGGGTCAACCATGGGCTTGCACCAGGCAATTCATCTGAGAAGTATCTCCGCCTGATCAACTTCATACAATATACTACTAATTTAGATGAGAGTTTTCAAGATAAACAAAAGCTAGATGAACAAAGGAAATATACAGACCATTCGAAAAAATTTCATAACCGCTTCTTTGTCGTATCTGGCTTCTTTGGCAGCCTGCACCAATCGAAAAAATAAATTCTAGGTTAATTTTCCATTGGTAAAGATACAAAGAATATTGTGTTGAACACCCTTAAACTGAAGTAATTCATTATTTCCTAAATTAATGCAGTAGCACGATATGTAATTTTGCCCTAACTAAGGTTTCTTGAATCTTTTACCACAGAGCAAAGGGAGTGGAAATGGGTAGGAAAGATCAATCTACAAACCAAAGCACGAAATTCATTCTATGGCACTAGTTGCTAACCATTTTGTTTTAGAACTACACTTTCCTTTTCCTTGAAGATCTACCAAAATTTAAAGTTGATACACCTGCAAACTTCCCAATCATTCTCAGACAACAAAATTTAATTGCTGCCAAGTACGTCAAAAATATATCCGCCAACTGCAATTTGATCTGAAAATCACTTGGCAGCTTTCCAATCTAAGAATTCTTGAAACTACATTCAAATGTAGGGAAAAAATTATCCTATTTTCTATAATATAAACCAACACAATTACAGGTACATTAGTTGATTTTAATGGATGAAAAAATCATTAAGCTCCGTATTTAATATTTTCTTTCAGGAACTAACGTAAAATTCCTTTACAAAAAGGCAATATAATCCTCAACTTACAATGTCAGAACATAAAGCACAGACAGCGAAATACCCCACGAACCAATAATCTTTTCTGACACATGATAAATATGAAGCTAAAAAAGAAACTTGTACAAATTGTCAAATGAAGTGGGCGGCACAAAGAAGATAGCAACATATGCATTCATCATTTTGCTAGTAAACAATTGTACAAATTCATCTCAGCAGTTTCCGCTATAAAATAAAAACAAACAGGAGACATTCTTCACACACACACACACACACACACAAATGCACTGCGACATGGGGACCCTAGTAAAGCATGCATGGCATAAAGCCTGTAAAAATTTCTAAAAAATTATACCATAATTAAGATGTCGTGCCTATAGATAATGGTAAAGAAAAAATAAATAGTTTACCATCTTAAACAGTTGCAATTAGCATTAGACTCGTCCACGAAAATGAAATCAAACTAACAATTGAACTTAAGAAACAAATGAAATGGCATCTTGAGAATTCAAAGAATTAAATTACGTGGATAAGCAGAGAAACCGGTAATTCGTGCATATACAATTTGAGGAAAATAAATTATACATCAACTGCTACTTGAGAGGGACATCTGAAAATTTGGTAGATCTAAAAGTTTATCGAGCAGCATTTTTCCCTCCACATGTACATCAGTAAAGAGAGTTGCTGGAATTCATAAAATTATGTCGTGTAGCAGCTACAATTCTGCACTAACAGTGTTAGTATAAACACCAGATTTCCAAAATTATACTTACTGCTAGAAGACCTCCATTGCCAGGGAAACTCTCAGCCAAAGGAAGTTCCTCGCTTGATGAAAGTAATCCCTGCTTCTCAACCCATTGTCTAGCTGCATCAACCAGATTGCCACTGCTCCCTCGTGTACCCTCTTTCGCAGCAATATCTGCTTTGTTACCAATAACAATGTATGGTACAGGAAGACCACCAGGACCTCCAGACGCTAAAGGAGCTGAGAATGTCCCAGTAGCAGCAATCTCTGCAGCCCACTTCTTCAAGCTTGTCTTCGTCCTTCTTTGAGAAAGATCATGAACAAACATAACACCTAAAGATGAAGTTCAGGTTGTTAAAGAAATAAAGACTGTAGATCAAGAATATCACAGTTAAAAAGCTCATGGAAATTTGTAAGACACATTCTTAAAACTTAGTAGTAGTAATGTAGTACTATACCTTTTTCAGTTTAGCACGAAATACTTTATTATTGATGCATGATAAGTTATATGGTTCCACATAAATGAACAGAATACACAGTTGCAGATAATAAGATGCATGTAAACTAAATTCTACAGAATGCGGATGGGTTATAATTAAAAATGTCCAAGATATGGTACTTTTTTTGGATAAAAAATTTAAATCAAGCAAGAGGACTCATCGTTTACCATTGATTTGAGAATAGAACACAGATCGGCAATCTTGATATCGTTCATGTCCTGATATATCCCAAAGTTCAACAAAAAAATCTCTCTCGCTGTCACCTCTGAAACTATATGACGAGCTACCAGAAGTTCCATAAGTAGTATGCTGCATAAAGTTAACAGGAATGTGTCATTATTTATCTGCAGTCTTGGCTATCAACTCATTCGAAGAAATGAATCAATCAAACCTTAACATCAACAGTACAACCAATTGTTTGAGTAGGCCGAGCAACAGAAGAACCTTTTAGAATCAGATGAACGAGAGAGGTTTTGCCCACACCTATCATAACATTGAAAAATTAATATGCTGTTTGGTAGTTGATGAGATATTAAGGCCGTGTTTGAACCACATTCTTTCAGAAAAATACATTTTTAAATAGTAATTTGACATAGTTTTAACTAAACATTCTTCAATAAAATAATATTACACGCAAATCAAAAAAAATTCCTCATTTTTTAACCACACATTCTCCATCAATCTACCATTCCAAAATACATTTTTCAAAAATAATGTGGCTCAAACACATACTAAATGAACTTTTTTGAAGTTAAGTTCATTATTTATTATTATAAAGAGCTGAATTAGATGTTCTACTACACTCCTAAGAGTTTATAAGCACTGAGGAGTTCTTTAAAAACTTCATTATCTGCAACTTTAGATTTCACAATCTGAATTTTCATAAACAGGCATTAAACAGAATGCATGAGACTTTGCAATGTACCACAGCAACCATCTAAAGGAAATTCTGAACTCCAAGCAAGAACTGCTTCATCTGGACCAATATAATGTATTCTTCTAAACCCGTAGTTCTTTCTCAATAGACACAAATTACAAAGCAACCAGGACTAGTGACTATTTAATTTTAAATAACATCAACTCTTCCCACCTACCACTCACTGAAACAGTAAACGGACAGATACCTTACATTACTCTTACATAAGAATGGTATAAATACATATTTTTATTCTCTACTCGCTAACAGATGCTGTTTATAGATATGGGAAAAAAATCCAAACCAACTGCAACCAAAATTCAGAATACCAAATTCGATAATTCATTCTGCTTTTGTTCTGAAAGATTCCAGATTCTCATTAAGTATCCATTTTTCAATTCAGCATTGACAATATGTTTGAGAAACATTATAAGTTACTAATAATTTCCGTCAAGTCAAAGTTTAATTTAAACCACCGTTCACAACTATTGCCCATTTATTATCCACACATTTCTTGGGACCAATTACCCCTCTCAATATAATATCCTTTATAATATCCAGTCAAAATTTAATTTTATCCACACGTTCACAACTAGAACCCACTTATTAACCACATATTTCGTGTGACCCATTACTTCTCTTGTTAAATTTCCTTATATGGAGATTATGATGACACCCAAACACGCACTCAGTTTCAAACCAATTACTGAAATTACTATAAACTATACACAGAGACTCTCTCTCTCTCCCCCTCCCTTGTGATTCTATATTGCAAGATCAGAAGCTTGTAGAACTATTCATCTTCATATGCAAGTCATTTCTTCAAGCCACGCCTTTGACAATCTTCAATATATTTTCATTGATTTTTATTTTAAAAAGCAAGCACAATGTTTCTGAATTGAGCTAAAGGAAACCCCAATAATAGGATTTTCAATGAAGTACTATGGTGGATGCTAGAGAGAAAAAATTATGGAAGATATGTTTAATGGAGCAAGACCAATGGTGAGATCTAGTGGGGATAGTAGAAGAGAAATTTGTCATTCCTATATGCTTGTGTCAAGGTTCTTCCCCAAGTCTTTATCATTTTTCTTCAGACATGGACAAGCTTACGAGACATAACCAAAACGCACTCACTTAAGCATATGTGAGATTAGCTGGTGGCAATTTAGTCGATTGAATATGAAGGGGATACATGATAAATTAGAACTTCGAAAAAAGATTTTTTAAGTAAAGTGGAACTAAGACAAAATACACAATTTCATTAAGTGGTGAAGTGGCAAGGCCAGGGGAAGTAAGCTAAAAGGACAGGAGGTTGGAGACTGAAATACTAAGAAACATTTGTTACACAAGGGTAGGGGATGGGGACCTCTAGTGCTATTTTCCGTAGTTTTTAAGATCACTTCTGACTACAGGCCCAAAAAAAAAAAAAAAAAAAAAAAAAAAAAAAAAAAAAAAAAAAAAAAAAAAAAAAAAAAAAAAAAAAAAAAAAAAATATAGACCAAAATTAACACGGCCTAAATTGATTGCACAAAATCTCGTTTCAGCACAGTTTTTTCTTTGGATTTAGAGGCCTATTGAACAGAATGACAAAAAAGTATTCATGTAACAAAAGCCCAAGTTTATTGAGAACAATGGTTAGTTTGTAATCAGTTTTTCCCCTTTCCCACTGCTACACTATTCATGAAGAGAAATTAGCGTAGCTACATTGAGCTTTAGCAAGGTTTTAAAAAATGGCCAACAGATTAAGGCTCCATTAAACAAGGAAACAAAGGAAAAATATTCAAACTTGACCAGTAATAAAATTTGAAACCATGCAAGCCATCAGAGATTTTGGCCCCTTTATGAACCTAAAATTGACTTGATCCTAGAATGGATCATGCCAAAACATCAGGACATAAACAAACCCATAAAATACTCACTTAAAACTATCCAACCTTAAAAGAGTTATCAGCATCTTCACCCGGAAAAGCAAAGAAATGTATAGGGAAAAGGGCAAAGAAAAATATTGAAAGCACACATACGCACAACATCTATAAACCAATAAATTCAAATTGTTAAGATAAGAGAAAGGATTAATTAAGTTACCTGAGTCACCAACAACAAGAACTCTGACCTGCCCACAAGGAGGTCCGGCATTCTGATCTTTGATTTCCCTTTCCCTTCCTCTCCAAAACATATTCTCCTACTCCAAGACCAGAAAATCTATCCACAAAGAAAATTTACAAAAGTCCCAAAAGTATTCACCTCAATTTCAAGCCAAGTGCGAAAAGCAGCACTCTCTCAAAATGGATGTTTCAGATTCCAACCAAAAAACCCCCAAATCATAGAAAGAATTAACGAAAGAAAAAGCTTAATTCCAAGAATCTAGCATTACATCCAGGTAGATCTTTCAAGATTTTCAGAAAGGCGCCCTCAAATCTGTATATATCTATTCTGAACTCCAACTGAGCCCAACAGAATTGGTTCTTGTGCTCGATATCGTGATAAATAGATTATGGGTTCCTTTTTCTAAATCAGCGTATGGAAGAATATAAGATCTGAAGTAAAACGTCCTTGACTTACTACTATGTTTCGGGGTGTAGGAACGGTGGTTTGTATGGATATATAGTACGCATATACAAGTCACATAACTCAAAACGATCTGAAAAAAGGGCTTTGGATTATACGCAATCAGCAAAACTCGCGAAGGAGAAAAATCATTTTCATTGATTTAAAGCCAGGGGATTAATTAGAGATTATTATTTTCGCGGGAGGTGGAGGGGGTTATTATTTTGCTGGACTATTATATACTTCGCTAAAAGTTCAGGGGTCGAATTCTCATTTTTCACATTACATAATTTTGTATAGAAAATGAATAAAACTGAGACATTTACCTTATATCAATTTTTTTTGAAAGTTTTGTTAGTCAGATAAAATATTTTTAAAATAATATTCAAATGTGTTCAAAAGTAGCTTCATAGTCTTAGCCCTTATTTGAGCCACATTATTAAAATGAAAATATATTTTTGAATAGTGTATTGATAGAAAATGCGTAGTTAAAAAATAAGGAAGAGTTTTGGATTTAAATATAATATTATTTTATTGAAAAATGTGTAGTTGAAATGATATCAAATCACTATTAAAGAATGTATTTTTTTTTAAAACAATGTGGCTCAAACAAGACCTTAATATGCCAAGACGCATGTTATACCTCCGCTAGTCACTGAGGGGCCGGTGGCTATGGGTCCAGGATTTAGTCTGGCGAAGTTGGGACACCTGGGTATCAAAAAAAAAAAAAAAAAAACA